CTGTAAACAGTGTGTGAGTTGTCTCTCTGTAAACAGTGTGTGAGTTGTCCTCCTGTAAACAGTGTGTGAGTTGTCCTCCTGTAAACAGTGTGTGAGTTGTCTCCCTGTAAACAGTGTGTGAGTTGTCTCTCTGTAAACAGTGTGTGAGTTGTCTCCCTGTAAACAGTGTGTGAGTTGTCCTCCTGTAAACAGTGTGTGAGTTGTCTCCCTGTAAACAGTGTGTGAGTTTCTCCTCCTGTAAACAGTGTGTGAGTTGTCTCCCTGTAAACAGTGTGTGAGTTGTCCTCCTGTAAACAGTGTGTGAGTTGTCTCTCTGTAAACAGTGTGTGAGTTGTCTCCCTGTAAACAGTGTGTGAGTTGTCCTCCTGTAAACAGTGTGTGAGTTGTCTCCCTGTAAACAGTGTGTGAGTTGTCTCCCTGTAAACAGTGTTTGAGTTGTCTCTCTGTAAACAGTGTGTGAGTTGTCTCCCTGTAAACAGTGTGTGAGTTGTCTCTCTGTAAACAGTGTGTGAGTTGTCTCCCTGTAAACAGTGTGTGAGTTGTCCTCCTGTAAACAGTGTGTGAGTTGTCTCCCTGTAAACAGTGTGTGAGTTATCCCTCTGTTTACAGTAATATATGAGCTTATAATCTCAATGTAAAATTTCATAATGGCTCAAGATTTACAGGGATTCATGCCAGATTTATATTATTAAATGTGACGGGGAATGTAATTTGGGTGAAAAACAAAAAAGATGAAAAAGGGACAAAGAAACAAAGCGGGGCATTTAGTTTCGTAGGGGGTTACTTAATTGTTCCCCGGGGCCCAAGAAAAAATCAAACTTTTCATTTGTCTTTATATTTTAAAACCGTCTTATGGAAAAAAATCTGATAAAAATTTGAATCAAAAAAAATCACTCAAAGTAAATTTTAGTTTTTCAGCAAATTTTTTATGTAACAAAGATTTTCAAAATTAAATTAGAAAATATTTTAAAAAATTTCAAACCTTGCCCCCTTTTTCAAAATGTTAAAAGGAAACGAATCTCGGGGCCACTTTTAAAAAATAATAAATTTTGAGGGGTTTTCCCCGGGAAAAACTAAAGTAACTTTAAAAGAAAAAAAAAATGCCCCAAACATTTTGGAAAAATTTAAAAACAGTCTTTGGCGGTCAACCCCAAAATAAGAAAAAAAAAAATTCTCCCCTTCCATTAAAAGGAAAATTTCGAAAATTTCCCTTTCATCGGGGGAATTTAAAATAGAAAAAAAAGTGAACTAAACATTTTAGGATCTTTGAAACCAAGGCCCCACCCAAGGGGACTTTTGTACTTACATTTGATTAGGGATGTTTTTTTTGTTTTACGAAAACTGTATGATATTTCAAGAAATTACATAGGGGGAAAGTGTACTCGCAGCAAACAAAATTGCCCCTCTTAATTTTTATCCATGAAAAATAAAGAGGAAAAGGGGGTTTTTTGCGGGGTTTTCTGTTTTTGAAAAAAACTTTGCGAGCTTGGCCACAAGCTTTAAGCAACTAAAAAATTTTTACCCAAGGGGCATAAATTTTTGAACTGAAACCCCAAACGAATTTTTTCCCCAAACCAAATTTAAATTTTTGGGCTTTATCGCGGGTTTGGCCCCGAACGCGAATATTTGTTTGCGCGAATAAGTCCGCACGATTTCGCGAATAAATTGGAGAGAATTTTTTATTTTAGACGTTGTTCATGCAAAGCTACTTGACCGGATATATTCGAATTTTCTGGGTGGCAGGCCTCTGTTTTCCCCTGGTACAAAAATTTTGGAGGCAGTAGAATACCTAGAATACCACTTTTAGTACAGATGAGAAGTGCAGTAATTTGCCTTTTGTCCTCAAGTCCAGTGAACTCGACTTGTTTAGACCCTATAAAATAAATGTTTGAATAAATCGTTTGACAACAGTGGGAAAACTATCGAGCATCACAAAAGGCTATTGTTTTTTGGATCCTATAAAATAATTTTTTGAGTGCATTGTTAAGACAAAGGTGTTATAAACCTATCGGGCACCACAAAAGGGTATTGGGTGTACATAATTACAAACAGTGAAATACAAGATGGTTTCATACTAGTATCGATTTTTACCCGTTAAACTTAACAGCCTGTATAGCTCAATTGGTTAGATTGCGGACTCATATAACATAACTTTCCCGGCGCGGGTTCGATCCCTGATTGGAGAAGATATTTTTTTTTATGAAACGCTTAAAAGACTTTTCAAGATAAACTGTGGGTACAAAATATAAATATGTTTTGAAAATAAGATGTTGAAATTAATTTACCTTGTTGTAATCATTTTTTTCTTTTCTGGTGTGCTTTCCAGATCATGATCAGGCAAAAACGATGCCGAAACATCCCTGCATTCTGAGGGTTTATTTTATCAACCACCCTTTTAACGACATGTTTAGAAATGAAGACGAACGATGCGTACATGTACATATATAGAGAAAATGTTTTGCTGAATTGTGATCACAATTCACTTACCAATACAATATAAGGCTAGCGTATTTTTAATCCCATTTAAGACACCAATAATGACCTCAATTATTGAAGATTAAAAATCGGCTAATGGATTTTACGACCCCATCGGACTTTCCAATCCGCGAATATTTTTTTTTCGGAAATCAAGAAAACGCGGAAATTAATATTCGCGAATATGTCCGACCTCGGCAAAACGCGAAAATTTGTATTCGCGAATATAAATTGGGTTACAGTAGCCAATGTAAGCTTGCAGCAAGCTTGTCACAAGCTTACCGCAAGCTTTCCTTTTGGTTTGGGCACACACCCGTGCCGATTTTGCGACGCAGTAAAAAAACGGTATTGCGGGGCCATACATATATATTTTGACGTGATGTTTTTTGCGTTAGAAAAACATAGCGTTAAGATATTAGCACCCTAATGCATTACCTTCGCTTTGAAGAGTATTCAAATAGGCTAGAACTACTGTTAACAACATTGAAAATGAGGGCCATGGGTTCAATCCCCAGAAGGGTCAACTTTTTTTTTCTTTCTTTTTTTCTTTTAACATTATTTATGTATCTCTCATGTCCCATTTGGAAAGAAAAAAGTGTTTAATTTTGATTTTTTAATTTATATAGGTATTTTTTGGCTAAATTATGCTAAATCTAGTAATAAATATGGTACCTGATATTTTCAAAGTGTAATATAATCAAAACTAGACGGTAAAAGTATTTCATATTTTACAAGATCAACCAATATACCTTTTTAAAAATTTAGGGAAACTTTGAAAACAGGCACTCATTTGGGTAAATTTTAAGAATTTTTTAAATTAGGCTCCCTAAGTAGAAAAATGGTCAGACACATGGTAAAAATGGGTGGGGTAGGGTAACAATTTTATACAGATTTCATAAATTTTAAGTAGAAACCATAATTTTGCTTATGTGGATTGTTAGCTGAATTACCAAAAATTAATGGGAAAACATTTTTTATTAGAATGTTATTGCAGATTATTTAAAGGTTCCGCATTTCTAAAAAAGGGCCCTCATAACATCCTAGCTTGAGTTCAGAAAAGTGGCCATAACTTGATTTCCGTACGGTAAACTTTGTTTAAATTTTGCATACAGGTGTACTTTAAGGTATACAACTGACCTATGATGTCAATTTTGTAGTTTCTGATAGTGCCTATTAGGGTCCTAATACCTTAAAGCACGCTAATGATTAGTTACACTATGGAAAAAAATTGATGCTACTGTAATCAGTTCTTATTTTGGGTATGTGGTAAATAGAAAATTATATTCTTGTAGGTTCATTACTAAAGCTATTGAACTTGTTCAATAAAATAATATTATGCTCGTCAGAGGCTCGCATAATATAATTTTATTTAACTCATTCAATAAATTAAGTATTGAACCTACACTCATTCAATATCCTCTATATATTCAAAAATTTCTGCTGCTCGCAACACTAGGTTTCCCCTTGTTCAAGCTTAATATCAAAGCTTTTACGGTGTTTGCATAATTTACCATAACTCCAAGTCTCTAAGAGTGTGCCTGTCGAGAAGTGACTGCTTAGAGTGCAAGTCTGTATAAATAAGAGAAATTATTGCTTTGAAAATGATAATTATAACAGTAGGTGGTCAATCAATACCCTTTTTTGTGCATAATTATACAGGAGGGGCCAGTATTTTGTTTTGGTTTATTAGATCAATAGTGCTTTAGAAGAAACTGTACACCAGAAATTTATATGTCTGCGTTTGGTTGTATTTGTGTGGAAATGTACAAGGCAATTATAAGTGTAAGGCCAGCCTTAAAATTATAAATGGACTGTTCCAAATTCAAAACAGGGCAAATCCATTATACAAATCAAGGGGGGTTAGTTTATACAAATTTATTTTAGTTGGATTGTGTAACGGAAGCTACAAGCTTATTCAGAAGCACTATTGAATCCATTCCTGGAACCAACCAGTTCTAAGCAATGAATGTAAAGTTTCTTGCGCAAGGAAACAACGGCTTGCCCCCTGACAGGCTTTGAACCCACACAGTCAGCAATCCTGGGATTCTTAGTGCGACGTTTTAACCACTCGGCCATGCTGCGTCTAAAATCAAGTGGATTAAGGTTTTACATAAATTGGATGTTCTCATTAAATAATTTACCAAGCAGTTTCTATAATATTACATGTACATGTATAGTGATGTCAAATAATGTTATTTTTATCTTTTGGAAAGGAAGGTGGTTATACTTAATTGGTGACTCTTGACAGTAGGTGCACCTCAGAGGTCCTCTGCCATTGAAGCTGGTTATTTGCTACATGTATATTATTCGTTATAAAGATTGTTTACAGGTTATAATTATGGCCCTATATAAACGGCTGTATGTAAATATTGCAAACAGCAGCTTATAATTTACGGTCATATAACCTGTCAACAATCTTTATAACGAATTTATAATACAGCAAGCTTCATTTTTTAGAGAAAAAAGGCAAGATTTCTTCATGAATTGACGGGAGCCGTGTATATAAAACTATATATTATCCAATGAAAAGGGACGTTACAAACGTGCAGTATTATAATACATTATATACAGTGTATGTCTGACTTAACAAAAAACAAAAATAATATTACATAGCAAATGTCTGACTTGACAAAGAACAAAAATAGAAATAATAAGTATGAGAAGAAAAAAAAAAGGCTTGCAACTTTTAGTGAGGTATAAGATTTCTATGTAATTTGCCTAATGCGGTATGTATAAATTTTTACAGCGATACGCTACCAGACACGACAGAGAATGGTACAGTTGCGGATGATGTCACGTGTTGGGAGAGCGTAGATAAAGAGATGTTTGAGGATCATCCTGTCATACACTGGTGAGATATGAGTTATATCTAACACCTTGTCAATTAATGATATACTATAATCAACAGTGAAATATAACCAGTAACACTCCCTGTACCACTGTCATTGCATGAATTTTATCATCAAATTTTAGAATGACTTTTGTGGAAGCACCTTTGCTATGAAATACTAGACATTTCCAGTGAGATGTAATATATCACCCTGTTATGAAATATTGTCACATATTTGTATGTTAAAGAGCGCCTGTTAATTAATAACTTACTTACTTATGCCACCCCACCCCCATCCTCCTCTTGTGTTTCAGTGTATATGTCCTTAATTCAGTGTGAAATGCTACAGTAAAATTCTTGGCCTGAAATTTGTCTGAATTTGTCTAGTATAAATGTGTATACATCTGAAATATATGTAATAGATAAAACATGTGTATAAGTCTGAAACATGTGTGATATATAGATAAAACATGTGTATAAGTCTGAAACATGTGTGATATATAGATAAAACATGTGTATAAGTCTGAAACATGTGCAATATATAAATAAAACATGCGTATAAGTCTGAAACATGTGTGATATATAGATAAAACATGTGTATAAGTCTGAAACATGTGTGATATATAGATAAAACATGTGTATAAGTCTGAAACATGTGTGATATATAGATAAAACATGTGTATAAGTCTGAAACATGTGTGATATAGATAAAAAGCATGCAAACGTCTGAAACACATGTGATATATAATTATATATATAGATAAAACATGTGTTTAAGTCTGAAACATGTGTGATATATAGATAAAACATGTGTATAAGTCTGAAACATGTGCAATATATGTCTTAAACACATGTGATATATAAATAAAACATGTGAATAAGTCTGAAAAAGGTGATAATGTGACATGTGCTGGAACTAAAGTTGACAAGTCTACCTGCCAGCCTACACATCCTGTTGATAGGTCAGATTTTACATTCTGTGATTGAAATGCCTTAAAATTTAAGAAGACTGCTCAGAATTCAAAGCAGGACAAATCCATTACACAAATTCAGGAAGGGTTAAAGGTTAAAGTTGAATAGGACATTCATTTAAGTTCATAACTTAAAGGAACTCCACTGAGGTTTAAACTCAGCTTCAAAAAATAAAAATTTGAATTTCTTGTATAGATTAGCTGGGGCACTTAAAACAGATAGATGCAAACGATAATTAAGAACTTTACTCAGAAATAAATTGACAGTCATATTTTTGGGACAAGACCTTTCAGTAGACCACACTAACCTTGACCTTCATCCATAAATGACCTTGACCTTCAAGGTCAAATGTCCAAATTTTGCTTGTTCTTCTTCACCATTAGAATAAACGGAGTGAGCGAATGATCTCAAATTTTGTACACAAGTTATTGGTCTTAACCTACATAAAATGGAACATGAATCTTGAAAATTGATTTTCAGCCCTGTCATGTTAAAAAAACCTCAGTGTTGTCCCTTAAGAGCGAAATAAACTTCCAACAAGAGTTTCGAAGAAATGCAAAATAGAAATATTGTTCAGCCATTGCATGTATAAAATCCATTGTTTATGCTTGCATAATTAATTCCTGTAATATAAACAGCTATTCTAGAAGTAATAGCCAACAAATGAAGTGTAAACATTCTCATGCATATTCATGAACACTTTATGCTGCAGTCCATGCAGAGAACTTTAAACTGATCGAAGACATCTTTTATTTAAGGGTGAGAATGATTTTGAAAAATGCAGTGGAAACTTTGAAGCCTTTGTAGAAATTGCATGACACAACAGAATATTTTAATGCAGATTTGATTTCCATGGAGATCAAAATTTGTTTTTTTGTTCAGGATGTAAAGTGAGACCGGAACTTGGCTTTTATTCTCTTAAATGACAGTCAGTTGGACATTTTGATATCAAGTCAGTATGCTGTAGGAATACTAATTGACATTCTGCGTATTTTATTCCATTGTTTCAGCTCTGTATTGAATTCTTAAGTTAATTTGTTATAGTGTTTAAATGTTAATATAGTTATTGTAAAATTCTCTTCTCAAAGCATAAATTGTATTGTAGTGATGTAATAAATGCTCAGTTTTAAGGGACCTCACTGTGTTAATTTTTAATGCTGAATTTAAGGGACTCCACTGAGGTTTTTTGTAATGCTCAATTTAAAGAGACTCCACTGAGGTTTTTTGTTATGCTCAATTTAAAGAGACTCCACTGAGGTTTTTTGTAATGCTCAATTTAAAGGGAGGACTCCACTGAGGTTTTTTGTAATGCTCAATTTAAAGGGAGGACTCCACTGAGGTTTTTTGTAATGCTCAATTTAAAGGGAGGACTCCACTGAGGTTATTTTTAATACTCAATTTAAAGGGACGCTACTGAGGTTATTTTTAATGCTCAATTTAAAGGGACGCCACTGAGGTTATTTTTAGTGCTCAATTTAAAGGGATGCCACTGAGGTTATTTTTAATGCTCAATTTAAAGGGACGCCACTGAGGTTATTTTTAATGCTCAATTTAAAGGGAGGCCACTGAGGTTATTTTTAATGCTCAATTTAAAGGGACGCCACTGAGGTTATTTTTAATGCTCAATTTAAAGGGACGCCACTGAGGTTATTTTTAATGCTTAATTTAAAGGGACTCTACAGAGGTTTTTTAAGAAGACGGGACCTGAAATAAGTGTGTTGAGATTTTTTTATATGTTTTAAAGATGCATTAAAAGCATTTGATTGCTTTAACTCAAATCAGACAAAAGTATTCTTATCAAATATTGAGGGGAAAAGCACACAAAAAATAGAGTGTTGGTGTTGGAAGTTTACCCTCATGATCACGGCAGTTAGCCATATTGAATTTACCAGAGCACAGTGCAGCAACCGCATCTTTCCTTGCCAGGCTGTCAAGCAATTTACCAGTTTTTAGTTGCCTTCACTGTCGCAAGGAACTGATAACTTCTATACATGCCACAAAAAAAAGTCCCACAAAAATCCCACAAATATCCTCCATGTAATGCATGTCATCGTTGATTTTTTCGCCACCAACGCATTAATCACCAACACAAATATTTATGTTTAATAAAACCCATGATAATTGTGAAGAATAGATATAACCACCTCGAGAGTACTAGGAGAACGTATCACTGATTGCACGAGTTATATTGTCGTAAAAAGAAATTACAGTGACAACGACTTCTGAAATACTACTATATTTGTGACATTCATCTTGAATCCGACAAAATTTTCTTTTCCCAAAGTTCCCTTGATGCATATATCTTGAATATTGCCTGTTAGTTTTTTTGCTCACTAGACAGTTTTCCTGTATTCATTATATGTAATTTATTTTTACATTTGACAGAATGTCAGTTAAGTTTATTTTTTGTACACACCGTCTGTTGTATATTTAATTAAATGGATTTTGTTTCAGACTCACTTAATGTCACATGATTATTACACCAATATGAGATGATAGCAGGGTAAATTATGAAAAAAGATAGTCTAGTTGTGATATATAAAATTACTGTATATTCTCTAGACTAATAGATGCCCTTCTCCTTAATGCATCCACCCCAACCCCCCCCCCCCCCCCCCCCCCTTTTTCTTATCAATCCTGTGGAGAAATAGCACAAATTTTAACTTCAGGATTGTACAATTTAGTTGAAAATAATACATAAACATTCTTTTTATTTTATGCCTAAATTAACATTCCCCTTTAGGAAAGTATACCGCCCCTAGGGGCCTTTAATAGAAATATATGGTATGTCAAAACATGTCCCTTTGCAAAGTTGATTCTCTCAAAGTATTACTCTCATGTTACAATGCAAACATCTTTTACATTGACTTATAAGAAAGTTTTAATTAGTTGTGCTTGTTAAGCAAGCAGAAGTCAATGCCCAAAAATCATATATTTAAAAAAAAAAAACTTTTATTTCTGCTCAGTTAAAACATTTACCAACAATACTACAAGCATGTGAAAAATTGTGTCCCCTAATCAAGCACAGGAAAAGTATGTTCACTGTAATAAGTGCAACAAAAGTCATGTCCCTGGAAGTAATATAAAACAAATAGTGTCCCTGTAACAAGCATCATAAAAACCATGTCTCTGTCATAGTGCATAATAGCATTTCATGTCCCTGTTATGAGCATTTCTAAAATATCCATGTGTATGAAATAACAGCGATATTCTATATTACATCTCTTTCAAGAATATATCATATTTAGGTTTATGGAAACAACATAATTGTACCGTTTATAAATTTTATAACAATATATCATCAGATATAGCTTTATACCCTTTAAATTAAAAACATAGGTATAGGTTATAGGTAAGGCCCTCACGGTTTCACGTTTAAACGGATTCGTTTCAATTTTCATTCTTAAACGTTTACGATATTTTTTACCGTTTAATCGAAATGACCATATTGTCTTACAAAATATCTTAATCATTGCCTGTAATCACAGATTTAATCAATTCTAAATGGTTGATTACAAAGTAAAAACGGAAAATGGGTGTTTACAACCCTCCACACAGCATTAGCGTGCAATAATCACTCGTGACAATACATATTTGGTAAACCTGATTTTCCTTTGATCTTTCAAAAGAGCGAAATGGGGATACAATGCAGAAAATGTGTGCCGACACAATCGGCATGACCCTTGAACATTGTTTATTTGTACATGTATTAAAAATAGAAAGTATGTCATCATTTGGCGACTCGAATATCTGGAATAGTATAGTTCAAAGAAGTAGCACCGTTTAAACGGTATCGTTTCGGTTCTTAGCAATCGTGTAAACGTTTACAAAAAATTGTAAACGTGGGAGCCTTAGTTATAGGTTATATACAGAGTTTAAAGTAATTAATAAAATTATTGCAAAGCAAACGAAATGAAGCAAGAAAATTATTTTTTTTAAACTCTGTATATAACCTATAACCGACTTACGGTTAGCCCCGCCCATTCAAATCGAGTGCATGATTCCATTAAATTGGCATAAATGGTCCATAAAAATTTATAACATGCAGTTGAGTTACAGCATATATTGTAAATATTTCAGCAAAATTTAAACAAAATAGAGCAATTTCATTGGCAGACCAGAGATCGAAAATTCCACTCGTTCACTTGTAATTAACAAATAATGAGTAGAATTTAAGAAAACTTAATGCAGGACAAGTAGAAAAATATTTCCTGCTCTGATTGAATGTAGAAGCTACTTTAATGTCCTGCAGGAAGAGTGACCCTGAAAATATATTTCAATGCCTGCAGACAGAGTTTGGCGAACTGTAAAATGACTAATTACCAATTATCAATTACTTCTACTATTTCAGGGATCACATTATTTGGGTAGACAGGCACAATGTCTTGCTGTTTGTTCAGGTTACAGTGGCTGTCATTAGTCTGTCAGAGACTATACTTGTACAGTATCTTAGCTACAAGGTTAGTATTCTTGTACAGTATCTTAGCTACAAGGTTCGTATTCTTGTACAGTATCTTAGCTACAAGGTTAGTATTCTTGTACAGTATCTTAGCTACAAGGTTAGTATTCTTGTACAGTATCTTAGCTACAAGGTTAGTATTCTTGTACAGTATCTTAGCTACAAGGTTAGTATTCCTGTACAGTATCTTAGCTACAAGGTTAGTATTCTTGTACAGTATCTTAGCTACAAGGTTAGTATTCTTGTACAGTATCTTAGCTACAAGGTTAGTATTCTTGTACAGTATCTTAACTACAAGGTTAGTATTCCTGTACAGTATCTTAGCTACAAGGTTAGTATTCTTGTACAGTATCTTAGCTACAAGGTTAGTATTCTTGTACAGTATCTTAGCTACAAGGTTAGTATTCTTGTACAGTATCTTAGCTACAAGGTAAGTATTCCTGTACAGTATCTTAGCTACAAGGTAAGTATTCTTGTACAGTATCTTAGCTACAAGGTTAGTATTCTTGTACATTATCTTAGCTACAAGGTTAGTATTCTTGTACAGTATCTTAGCTACAAGGTTAGTATTCTTGTACAGTATCTTAGCTACAAGGTAAGTATTCCTGTACAGTATCTTAGCTACAAGGTAAGTATTCTTGTACAGTATCTTAGCTACAAGGTTAGTATTCTTGTACAGTATCTTAGCTACAAGGTAAGTATTCTTGTACAGTATCATAGCTACAAGGTTAGTATTCTTGTACAGTATCTTAGCTACAAGGTTAGTATTCCTGTACAGTATCTTAGCTACAAGGTTAGTATTCTTGTACAGTATCTTATTAGACTAAGCTACAAGGTCAGTATTCTCGTACAGTATCTTAGCTACAAGGTCAGTATTCTCATACAGTATCTTAGCTACAAGGTCAGTATTCTCGTACAGTATCTTAGCTACAAGGTTAGTATTCTTGTACAGTATCTTAGCTACAAGGTTAGTATTCTTGTACAGTATCTTAGCTACAAGGTAAGTATTCCTGTACAGTATCTTAGCTACAAGGTAAGTATTCTTGTACAGTATCTTAGCTACAAGGTAAGTATTCTTGTACAGTATCTTAGCTACAAGGTAAGTATTCTTGTACAGTATCGTAGCTACAAGGTTAGTATTCTTGTACAGTATCTTAGCTACAAGGTTAGTATTCCTGTACAGTATCTTAGCTACAAGGTTAGTATTCTTGTACAGTATCTTATTAGACTAAGCTACAAGGTCAGTATTCTCGTACAGTATCTTAGCTACAAGGTCAGTATTCTCATACAGTATCTTAGCTACAAGGTCAGTATTCTCGTACAGTATCTTAGCTACAAGGTTAGTATTCTCGTACAGTATCTTAGCTACAAGGTTAGTATTCTTGTACAGTATCTTAGCTACAAGGTTAGTATTCTTGTACAGTATCTTAGATACAAGGTTAGTATTCTTGTAACAGTATCATAGCTACAAGGTTAGTATTCTTGTAACAGTATCTTAGCTACAAGGTTGGTATTCTTTTACAGTATCTTAGCTACAAGATATAGAGGATGTTTGTTTGTTCATTTGTTTTTGTGTAAGATGAAATTTTATTGTATCGAGTGATTTTTAGCTCGACTATTCGATAAGAATAAGTAGAGCTATTGCAGTCACCCGAGCGTCGGCGTTACCACTTATGTTAAAGTTTTTGTAATAGTTCAAATATTTTCAAAGTCCATAGACATATGGCTTTGAAACTTTGCACACTTGTTCACCATCATGACCCCAACCTGTAGACAGGAGGAGGTAACTCTATCAAGCATTTTGACAGAATTATGCCCCTTTTTCGACTTAGAATTTACGTTAAAGTTTTTGTAATAGTTCAAATATTTTCAAAGTCCATTGACATATGGCTTTGAAACTTTGCACACTTGTTCAACATCATAACCCCAACCTGTAGACAGGAGGAGGTAACTCTATCAAGCATTTTGACAGATTTATGCCCCTTTTTCGACTTAGAATTTACGTTAAAGTTTTTGTAATAGTTCAAATATTTTCAAAGTCCATTGACATATGGCTTTGAAACTTTGCACACTTGTTCACCATCATGACCCCAACCTGGAAACAGGTGGAGGTAACTCTATCAAGCATTTTGACAGAATTATGCCCCTTTTTCGACTTAGAATTTACGTTAAAGTTTTTGTAATAGTTCAAATATTTTCAAAGTCCATTGACATATGGCTTTGAAACTTTGCACACTTGTTCAACATCATGACCCCAACCTGTAGACAGGAGGAGGTAACTCTATCAAGCATTTTGACAGATTTATGCCCCTTTTTCGACTTAGAATTTACGTTAAAGTTTTTGTAATAGTTCAAATATTTTCAAAGTCCATTGACATATGGCTTTCAAACTTTGCACACTTGTTCACCATCATGACCCCAACAGGTGGAGGTAACTCTATCAAGCATTTTGACAGAATTATGCCCCTTTTTCGACTTAGAATTTACGTTAAAGTTTTTGTAATAGTTCAAATATTTTCAAAGTCCATTGACATATGGCTTTGAAACTTTGCACACTTGTTCACCATCATGACCCTAACCTGTAAACAGGAGGAGGTAACTCTATCAAGCATTTTTTTTACTATCAAGCACTAAGAATAGTCGAGCGTTGCTGTCCTACCGACAGCTCTTGTTTAAGGTGCACTCCTCCAGATGAGTCAAAATGTTTCAAGAAATTCAATCTTTAGAGAAGATCTTAAGAAAAGTAAAAAGATTCAATATTTAATTAATTATTTACATGTTATGTGCGATAAATGACAGATTTTGCAGTATCAATCACTACAATTCTACTGCGTTACAAACGTAGTAAGAGGTATTTATGTATATTTTGACCTCTTTTAGCATGAACCTAGAGGCATGCTGCTTTAAAAACAGTATTCTCATGAGTGGCATAACTGTTTTTGATATTCATGAGATGAAATAAAATAACATCTTACAGAACAAATAAACATAATTTTCTTTTATTTTATGCTTAAGTACAACTTTAAATGAAAATTACTCAATATTAACTTCAATACCAAAATCTGTTTCCCCCACTGGTCGCCTCCAATTTCAGACGAATTTCACATAAATACTACATGAAGTCTTGAGCTAAAAAATGAGTTCAGAAATCAACGTTTAATGGTGACGATACCATTTATTTTATACAAAAAATATGAATGATTGTTTGTTTTAATTATTAAAACAAACAGTTCTAGAAGAAAAAAGTTTCACAAATGTAATATTATAGTAAATGAAGAAAAATTTGTACAGGTTTCACCCGGATTATCTTGAAGATCCCTTTAATGAGTGAAACTGGTAGATATCTTTCAACAATTATTGTGTGTTGGTAGTTTGACACTCCGGATCACCGCAGTTAGCCACATTTAATTCACCAGAGCACACCCTTGCAGAAATATATACTGGTATTTAAAAAGTCACAGTATTTTCCAGTTATTATCCATCAACCACCGCAACAATTATTATAATAGTTTGCTAATAAATAATTACAATGTTAATAGGAAAGGAATCACTTCCTTCTTTTTCCTCAACTATTGTTATCAGTATTGTTTTTAACTTTACATTTTGGATATTTATTTATTTATGTATGTTGTTTCAGGGTAATATCTTGCAGCAGATACTGTCGGTTGAGTTCATTCTTGAATTATTCCTCACTGTTCCATTTATCATCACTGTAAGTTTACAATATTTATATCTGTATACCCCACAATGTAAATAATGGACTGGCCTAGCATTGAATAAGGAATAATCCATTGCTTTTTTTAAGGTGCTTTAAAGAGTTGGAAATCAGTAGGTCCTAAAGTCAGGTCAGATTGTACAAAGTTCAGGCTGGCCTATGACCACTGCACTGAATAAAACTATAATAGACGCATCAATGAAAAAATGACCCTTGTTAACTGTTCGCAATTTTATTTTTTTGAATATATACAGTAATGAATCAAATATTTCATTAATGTAAATTAGAATTAATTTCTAGTTCATTGAAAAAAGCAATTTTATACTGGAAGGAGGCTGGCATTATATGATTTTATGTAACTTGTTCAATAAATATTGAAATGAGAACATTATTGTTTTATTCAATGAATAAAGTCATTCAGAATCCTCTATTTATAAAAAATGCCAAGATGTAATTATTTACTTTTTGTGCCAGCCTCGCATATAAAAAAACTAAAGAAATAATAAAAAAAGCAACCCTAATTGTCAAAATATTAAGTTATTATGATGTTATATTGTTATTGTAGGTTAACAGTAACAATTGATCTATATGTAAATTTTTATAACACTTCATTCTGTATGACAACTAAAGAAAATAAAGTTCATAGTAATACAAATATAGCTACTTGTCAACTCGTGTGTTTCTGTTAATGAAATTTTCTTTTTGTTTGTAAAAACAAAGGATACTTGTTTGTTTTTCATTTGTATGTAAATAGATGTCAAAACTTTTCATGTGGTAAGCAAAAAAAGTGGTTCTGTTAGAAAAGTTTAGGACAAAAGTGACAACGAAAGTGATGTACAGTCATTTTTATGGTATCTTGACTTTAAGTACAGCTCTTAACTGGTTATAGATGATGAACCAGTTATAGATAATGAACTGGTTATAGATAATGAACCAGTTATAGATAATGAACCGGTTATAGATAATGAACCAGTTATAGATAATGAACCGGTTATAGATAATGAACCAGTTATAGATAATGAACCGGTTATAGATAATGAACCTATTATAGATGATGAACCTGTAAAAATTGTAATTTTTTACCTTATTTTTTGTTTCAGATATTCTGGGCTCCATTACGTCGTCTTTTTATTCCAGTGTTTCTCAATTGCTGGTTGGCTAAACAATCCATGCAAAATATGTTTGTAAGTGCTTGTTAATATTTCTTGAAAATGATAAAATTACAAAAAAGAAAAAATTATTTTGCAACTTGAAAAAATGTGCTTAAATGCCTTTAGACTTTTTGAACCATGAATACCAACTTTAATAATGGTTAGCTTGTTTGTAAGTTAAGTATCAATTTTCATTGCAACAATTAATTGTTGAGTTATTTCAAAAACGGCACTACACATTATGATTTTACTTTATTTTGAGATTTTTAAAAACAAAATTTTGTATTAAATGATTAACAGGATAAAATGTCATCATTTTATATTATATTTTATAGACTTATATTAAATTTGTCTCACAGTTATTTAATTTACATAGAAAACAAGCAGTGTTAGGTGATAAAAGTCTGTATAAAGAGTCAACAAATTTCAGATTCTTTAGATAAAAATCGTTTCTTTTTGTTGTTTTTTGGCAAACAGATATGACATTTTTATATTAAATTTTATATTTTTTCTCTAGAATGATTTACATCGTGTGATGCAGAAATCACAGTCTGCCCTTGCTCAACAACTTATGATTTTATGTGCTACCCTTATTTGCCTTGTTTTTATCAGGTAAGTGATAGTGTTTAGAATTGTCTTTAAAGGAACCCCACTAAGGTCCATATTAAGCCTACATAAATATAAAATTTGAAATTCTAACATGAATTGGCGTGGGTACTTAAAACAGAAACATATACAAATAGATCATTCAGAAAATTATACTCAGAAATAACTTGAAAATCGTGTTTATGTGCTATTTGTAGACCGATTTGAGTGAAATGGGTTGCAACGCTTTTCAATTTTAGGTCATTTTTCACAATTGGAATAATTATTTTGGAAAAACGGAATGAGCAAATGATCTTAAACTTTGCAATTAAGTTACTGGTCTAGACCTTCATCAAATGGAATATTTATCCCAAAAAATTATTTCCAGTCCTGTCATGTTTAAAATACCTCTGTTGTTTAATTTAATAGGGTAAGTTTTTGTTACAATGTATTTTATTTCCTTGTTGTTATAATTGCTGTATAACTGGATCTGTTACAATTTTCTGTGACTTCTTCTAAAAAAAATTTTTTTTACTGATAAGTAATTATAATTATTTAAAATCTTGAATTAGATTCACCATCTAGTGGTAAACACTCTGTACTTGTACTCCAGGGGTGATGCAGGTTAGATCCCCTGATTCACCAATTACAATACTAATGTCTTGCAGTTGAGACCTAAATAACTGAGGTCTCATGTATGGGTACTCTACACCAGGCGTGTAAAAAAGTCATGGTTACCTCTGAAATGGGGCTTCTGCTGTATTCATGCACTACCCAGAAACCATGACAAATTCGGCAATGGTATCACAGATATTGACAACTGTAATGCAAAAATAAATGTATTGAAAGAAAAATAAAATGTTAATTCTTTCCTAATTTGTTTTTTTCAGTGCCTGTGGTATCCAACATCTTCAGAGGGGAGGTAATCGACAGCTGGACTTGTTTGAGGCCATGTATTTTACAATAGTGACGCTGTCGACAGTGGGTTACGGAGATATACATCCGGACATCTGGCCTAGCCGACTGTGGATGTTGTGTATGATTGTGGCTGCCTTGCTTGTTTTACCCACGCAGGTTTGTTTTGTTTTTAAATTGAGTTACTCGAAAGTTAGGAAAGATTTGGGACTTCCCTAACAAGGATGCAAACAAATTTTGAACAGTTACAAACTTGTTGTGCTGCAGTTATTAATGATAGATGTATCAAAAATAAGCTCAATTCTTTTGTGAATGGTAGTGCAACATGAATCTATGATAGTAAATGTTTGAATCTCTGGATTAGCTCTGTAAAACTCTCATTTCCAAAGTTCAAGATAATATCTATAGAGATTTACTTTTAAACAGCATAAGACTAGTTGGAAAAATATATTTATATCTGAAAGCAGTGAATACAGAGTTTATAACTTCAGAAATGTGTACATTTCTGTTTTTAAAAGATTTTAAAACTGCTAACTGTATAATTGTCTTGCTGTATATGAACTACATGTATGAAAACTTGCTTATGTTTACCTGTCTGGTGAGTGGCCAGGCCAGCCTGACTAGATCTTATACCATTAGCTGCACAGTTTTTGCAGTATTCCGTCAGTTCCCCAAAATCTGAAGCAAGATATGTAGTGCCGACAAAATTCCATTGCTTGAAGTTTATTTAACAAAAATAGAAGACAACATAGAGAGGAGCTGATTAACCTGACCACCTGAAATACCTTCAATATACTTGTCCATTTTTGAATCTGGATGAAACCATTTTTATATTGAGGGAAAATTTCTGTACTGACTGAATAGCGAAATGTGCAGATCCTGATTAGACAACACAGATGTGCCGTGCCGATCCGTGCCAGCTGATCTTGGTTTGCCCTGGTTGCATTGGTAGTCTTAGTCGCCACCAGCAGGCTATTAGGGTTAATATAAGATTTTAAAATGTAGAAAGTTCAAAATTTGTGACCAGACATTGAACGTATTTGTCCACAAACTAGATCTCTATAGATTACCTTGAATAGTTCAGTAATGAGCAAATCTATATATCTATCAATGTATTGTCAGTCTTAAGTCATTAGTTTAGTCATATGTTTACATGGAATATGTGTGTGTTTTTCTACTTGGTTCATGTGGGGATTGTATGAGGTCACAACTGTTATAATGATGGGATCTCTTCATTGTGAAAAATTAGAATATGACATGCTGATTGTTAATATTGAAGTGTTTATCATTCTGTTATACATATTCAGTCAGATTCAGTTAACCCATTATTTGATGAGCATTTTGTGAACAATGGCTGTTTTCATTGAAAAGCCTCCTGTTACAGGTTCAAATTGTAATGTTTATCATTCCGTCATATATATTTTGTCAGATTCAGTTAAAATTGTAATGTTTATCATGCCATCATATATATTTTGTCAGATTCAGTTAAAATTGTAATGTTTATCATTCCGTCATACATATTTTGTCAGATTCAGTTAAAATTGTAATGTTTATCATTCCGTCATACATATTTTGTCAGATTCAGTTAAAATTGTAATGTTTATCATTCCGTCCTACATATTTTGTCAGATTCAGTTAAAATTTTAGTGTTTATCATTCCGTCATATTATATTTTGTCAGATTCAGTTAAAATTTTAGTGTTTATCATTCTGTCATATATATTTTGTCAGATTCAGTTAAAATTTTAGTGTTTATCATTCCATCATACATTTTTTGTCAGATTCAGTTAAAATCGTAATGTTTATCATTCATAATTTGTCAGATTCAGTTAAAATTGTAATGTTTATCATTCCATCATACATATTTTGTCAGATTCAGTTATAATTGTAATGTTTATCATTCAATTATACATATTTTGTCAGATTCAGTTAAAATTGTAATGTTTATCATTCCGTCATATATACTAGGACGAAAAAGAAACGCCGGGTAACCTATAATGATTGTTTTAAGGGATAAATTGTATTATTGGATTATTATATTCATTTTTGTATGAAATGTCATCTGTATGGAACCAGCTGTTGAAGTTTCAATCGATTTCCGATGCTGATTATGTGAAAAAATACCCCCTTTTAACGATGACCCTTGTTGTTTTGCGAAACACGGCCGGACATATCAGTATCTTGTGTGTCCTCCATGCGCAGCTGTGGCAGCCCTGATCCGTCTATGCATGGAGTTCACCATGGTGTTAATCATGGCCATGGGGATGTTATTCCATTCTTCATGCAAGGCATGTGTGAGCTGGACATGATTAGTGGGGACATTTTACCCTCCTATCCAGTTCGTCCCACAAATTGGGGACAAATCTGGACTGAATGCTGGCCAATCAAGCGGGTGTATGTTACTGTTGGCAAGAAATTGCTGGCAAACTCTGGCGACATGGGGCCGGGCATTGTCGTGCTGCAATATCAGGTTCTGTGCTTGCACGCATGGGACGGCAACTGGGTGGAGGATTTCGTCTCTATACCAGACGCCGTGTTGCATATTTTATGTACCCGGCGTTTCTTTTTCGTCCTAGTATATATGCTGTTTGATTCAGTTTTTCAAACATATTCTGCTTGACTAGACTTTGTATACTGTCTATAGCATTTTGATTATGAAATAAACTTTTTAATGTACTTTTTCAAGTTCAATGCTTGGATGTAAGATCCTTGAAATATTTGTTCATGTCAGCTGAATGTTTCATGTCACATTATATAAGTTATATTTAAGAATTGAATTTCCTTTTTTGTATGAAATTACATAGTGCGAACAGGTAGTTTATATCTGGACAAAGAATTATCTTCAGCCACGCTCCAGTAATTCCTCTCCTGGGAACCAGACGGTAAAATTAGGAACCAGCTATTACTCTTGGTTTATGATAAAGTCAAACTCTTACACCATTTTGGTTGCCATGGTATCCACTAGTTAATTTTGAACAAAGTTTTGTTTTAAAAAAATAGGTCAAAGGTCATTGAGTCTGTTCTTTTTTATGACCAGTTTGATCCGCTTTATTTCTTATTTTTTGCTACTTTAAAATAGATCACACATCAATTGATTTTCCATCTCTTATCAGAAATTTAAACTGTGTGCAATCAATGTATCACGGTTAACAACTGTTCAATAAGGTGGTGCTGTGGGGGGGGGGGTGGTAAATAAATGTGTTAGCAGGGTCGAGGGAGGGGGAGATGTGTGAGAAATCAGATAGCTTTGTCCGAAGAGCCCTGGGACCTTAGGATGGTCACACTGCATATTTTTCTCACTCTCTGCCAATGTCACATATATATGTTATCAATATATTGTGTAAATGCAGGTAATTGCAAATTCAAAAATGGAAACTATTTTAGAAAATATTAAAAAATGCAGAGCAGATATTTAAGGATAGAATTAAGGATAGAAAATTGAACTAGTAAGAAATATGATATTGGAAAAGAAAATTATACATGAATTGAGATTAAGAATTCCTCAGGAATTGTGACTGAAATTGGCCCACATAGCATCATTTTGCATAGGAAATGGGTTTGAAAATTATCAATATATCAGTATAAATATTGTATGAGAAATGGGAATGAAAATCATGTGAGAGTTTGGCAGTATCTTGTGTTTAAGATGTTGAAAGACTAACCAATGATTTTTGTATCTCTAAAACAGGTATGCATGAGGGAAGATTGAGTACATCACCAGCATGGGTTATGGATTCAATTTTTGCATGAATGATTTTGAATTTGTAACAGTTGTTCACATATAATTACATCATGTACATAATTTATGTTTTGTTGATCATTGATAACTGATTACATTGTTTATGTTTTGGCAATCGTTGATAACTTTTAAATTTATTATATGATAGTAAGCCTTTGATAAAAAGAATTTGGGGATTAATAATACAGGATCTGAATTAAGTTGTCTATTCTTAAAATAATTAATTTCTATAGCGCAGGGTTTTATAAGCTGAAAAAGTGCTTTAATTTGAGTCCCTTTTTTGAAAAGTGCTTAGATTTGAACCCTTTAAAAGTACTTCAATATGAGTCTCTTTCTTAAAAAGTGTTAAATTTGAGTCCCTTTCATTAAACAAGTGCTTAGATTTGAGTCCCTTCTTAAAATATGCTTACATTTGAGTCCCTTTCTTAAAAAGTGCAAAAAAACGTAAACAGAAATCTTGAGATACCCAAAATCTTGTTACTTTCATAAAAAGATTGTGAAAAATAGTCACACTTATCAAAAAAATGTGTTTGAAATCATAAAGAATGACAGAGTGCATGGTACAAAGTGGACAGATTTCAACAAATGAGCCCAATTGAGCCTATTATGTACCAAAACCAATAAAATGTTTGCTCAAGGAAACACTTTCAGCCATTTTACAATAGAATATCACATAATATATGTTATTAAAAGTCAGATATTAAAGTAAGTCAAAATTAAAATTCTTCAATTAATGAAATTGTGACCAGTTAAATTTACAAGTGAAATATTAGGGACAAAAAAATGTACTTAAAAAACAGGAAAACTGATGCTCTGTATAAACCCTGTATCATGATTTTATCATACTAAGATTATCATTATTGTTAATAAATTCTTCCCCATCTCTGCTGATTTGAAACATAAGTGTATGTACATAAGTGTTTGTGTTATAGGCAGTACATGTCTTAGAATTTATTGATTTTGCACCATCTATTGTTTGTCTGTTGCATTTTGCATTGCAGTTACAAGCTGATACTTGTAACTAGTAAAGATTTAACCTTTTCCTTCGAAACAGTGACAATTAAAGGCCAATGATGCCTCAAAAGCTTTTAATTTCTAGTGTCCTGTTTTAGTTTCCAAAGAGTTACTCATTGGCCAAATACCTGAGCCAACTTTTGCTTCAGTTGCCTTTTGGCAATGATTTAGAATTATAAAGATTTAGAATTTTGTATGGAAGTCAAAATACAGCTATAAAGTCACATTCAGTGCTAACATCTACATATGATAAGCATCTTATATGCTCATATTTAACAATTATTTAAACATTTTAAAACTATGTTTGCATTTTCTTATGGAGAACAAATTTATTTGTTTCTGAGGCATAATGTGCCTTTAAACCTTTGCCACCACAAAAATATTTGTAATGGAGTGTTCCATAATAG